AACATGTAATTGTTTAATTTGATTTTGTGCTTTAATTAATTTAATTAATTCAGTTAAACTAAAAAATTCAGTAACAGTATAATTAGGATTGAAATAGCAATCTATATTTAAAACTTGAATATTTTTACAAGTAGTTGCTAATTTGTCAATAAATTTAGAACTATAGTGAATACTGCAATGTAATTCATAAAGGTTTTGAAAACAAGTATCAAATCTATGATGATCCAACAATTCTTCATCATCTAATATTGTAAGCTTTCTGATATTTGAATGATCAAAAATAAAATTTTCCAACCTTGTTTTTAATTGAAAATTTTCTGAACTATATAAATCACATAAATCTTCTAACCATCCATTGAATTCATCAAAATCTAATTCAGTTATAAATTTAGCATAATTGTATAATGGTGATTTTTCCAATAATTCAAAATCCTTTAATACAATATCATTTTCCACTAGGAAATTCTTATCTTCTTCTAGTAAGCAATTAATTAATATTTTGATGCTGTTTCCAGAAATAAATGGGTTTTTCCATAAGGTTGGAATATTGATATTATGCCATTTTTTATTGACAAGAACACAAGAATATAGTATTTTATAATCCTCTTCAATGTATTTAAATATTTCAATGAAAATTTCCAGTGGTAAAGTTGTTATAAGCATTTTTTTTTTTTTTTTACATTATACTACACAAATTTAATTGAATTCGTACAACTATTACATAGTGAATCTTGATTTAGTGGACCTCGATTTAGCGGATACTAATTAAAAATCTCGGTTTTACAGATAAAGTTCCATAATAAACCTTAACAAGTACGTCAAAGATCCAAAAACTGTTTTTTCAATTGTGCGACTAAAGTTATTTGGAATATTATTTTAAATGATAAACAATATCTTTTAAATTATGGCTAAAATTTACGACCTAACTTTTTTTTGGTACAGATAACGTTATACGACAACAAGAAGTATTAAAGTGTGAGTTCATGAACAATTATAATTGATAAAATGTTTATTATTGTTATTAGTAATAATCATTAGTAATGGTAATAAATTTTTTCAATTTTTCAATTTTCAATAAATTTGATATTTATTTTCAAGTGCCCTTTTTTTTTTAATAAATTTTGATATTTATTTTCAAGCGCCTTTGTTTTCAACAAATTTATTTTTAAACAATAGCATCTATTTTAACATCTATTGTATATATAAAAACTGTGAGCGGTGCAAATGTTTATACAGGTGTTGCATATAGCAGAGTAGATGAAGAAGAATTTGTAAAGTTGAATTTTAAGGCGTTTCGACAGAAATTTTGAAGAAATGATCCAAGAAATTAAGGAAGATTCCATTATAATGATGGTTGGAAGATTTCTTAATGTTGGATCTGAATTATTTGTAAGATTTTTTTATTAATAATCATTTATTATTATTATTTCAATAAAATAAATGATGAGAGATTTAAAAAAATGTAACAAATGATTTTTTTTTTTTTTTGTAGATAACTGTCATTCAAGCAATAACTTGGACCTAAAAAATTTGAACGAGGAGCCCAACATGCATGATCTACTGATAGCACCTCTGTTTGGTACTTTTTCTTCTCCTTGTAAAGAAAAGGTCAAGCCAAAGGGTGAACTAGATCAAAACCTCTTCATAATGGAAAGGAATAACTACAATTTGTTCACCAGCAACATCCAACAAAGTAATGATCCCATGTACATATACTCTCTCAATGGCAGACATTTGGCAGTAGCAGATGCAACCAAATCATCAGCGGTCTTTTCAGTAGCATGTGAACTGTTCTGGGAAGGAACATTATGCAAATCATCTGTAGCGAAATTGAATGGTCTTATCCCAGTCCAGTGCAAAGCAAATCATCAACAACAACTAGAGTCAAAAGAAAGAATGATGATTTGTTGAAATTTGAGAAGCATATCATTGGCAAAAAATCTCACGAGTCATCACCGATAAATGTATTAGTAACATCACCAAACTTATCATCATCAAATAAGAGATCATGAAATCCAAGCAACAAGGAGAAGTGACAATCAAGAAAACATGCTTTGATGCTTCCTTGAATATGTCAAGACCAGAGATATTGGCAAATGCAATAAACCAAGTTAATAATAACAAGGGTAAAGCACCAATGTGCTATTATCAAGACAGTGAAGATCTTATGGTTGAGAACCAAGAGGATGGAGTTGAAGTTCAAGATATAAATGTAGATAATGACAGTGATAATGACACTATTTAAACTACAAAAAAATTAATTTTTAAAACATTTTAAATTTTAAATATTTTAAACTCATTGTTTGAATGAACAATTTATTTGATTGTTGTTGAAAATATAAAAATTAATTGTGGAAAATTGTGTGAATTAGCATATTTTTATTTTGTCTTTTATTTGTGAAATAAATCAGTCTAAATAAATTTTATTTGATTATGTTGTGCGTGAATTTGGAATCTGCGTCAATAAATTCACGCGCGTGAAATTCAAATTAGCCACTCAAATTTTGTATTCAAACACCCACCCTAAAGTTTAATTGGTAAATTTAAATTTGATTTTCACGCACAACAATTTACAAGCCAAAAATACATGATTACAAATTGAAAAAAAAGTTATGTGAATTAATTAATTATTACATGTGCCCGAAATTTTAATCTTGTTCATTTTCGTAAAGCATTTCCAAATATTCTAAATTTTTACAATTTTGTCCAATTGATTGATTGAGCTTTCCTAAATATTCTTCATCAATTGGTATATCATAAATTCTGACAGGTCTAAAAGAAATGGACTATAAAGACGCAAAAAAATATATTACATAATGCCATTGTGGGGGTTTTGGGACAAAAGGCCCACTGGCATTTGTGTGTGTCTTCACACTCGTTTTCAATCATTTCCAAAACAAGGTGTGTGAAAAATGGTGTTCAAAAATTCCCTTATGCTGAATTTATGTTTTGCGCGTAATTTTTTGATAGTGTTCAAAAATTTGTATATCTTCTTTAACTTAAAATTACTTATAAATTGTTTCTGAATAATTGAAGTATATTATAACACAAAATGGAATGGTTCAAATTTTTGTATTTTTTACTTTAAATTACTTTTAAATTGTTTCTGAATGTGAATAGTTGAAAAGTTAGGACAAAAAAATAGGATATATTATCTTAAGTTTAAAATTACTAATAAATTATTTCTGAATAGCTGAAAAGTTAGGACAGGGGCTATGCCCCATTGCTACGCAATAAAAAATTATTTCCGAATAGCTAAAAAGTTGGGACAAAAATAATATTTAAAAGATATTCCTTTTTGAACATTTTTGAACAAAATAAAATTAACGTTTCTTTTTAAAGTGTTTTTGATAACATTTAATAACATAAAATCTTCTAATAGATGGTCGGGACATCGGCCACTTATAGAATGAGTAGGTTTTCTACAATCAGTACAAAGTACTCTAGGTTTAGTATTTTTATGATAACAGAATCTATCAGGCTTCATACAAGTACGCCCACAAATTTCTCTGGAATATAAAGAAAAGCACAGGTATATTTCTCCAATCACCTAATTATAATTCCAAAATAAATATATTAATGTATATTTTTATTAAGGCAAATTTTTAATAATTTTTTATTAAGTATATTATAAAATTACAACACCAAATAATATACCTCAAATTTTTACTATGGCTAAACAAATTATTTGTCCTAAATGTGGATATATATTCGCTAAAGGTGCAAAACAAAGGGATCTTACTAAACACCTTAAACGAAAAAATCCTTGTAAATCAAAAATAGTAAACGAAGAATCGTTAAACCAAACACCATAACTAGAAGCTGAAAATGAATTTAAACGCCTAAGTAATATTACAGGAGATTATGAAAAAAATTTAATATTTCGTGAACAACAATTAGGTCCAGCACTAAAAAGACGAGTAATAGCAGTTTACAATGCTAAAGTTCATACTTTTCATCCAGATAATGGAAGTGATATAAGAAGAATGTTAGAGAGTCAAAGAAAAAATTTCGAGAATTACTTGAAAAAGAATTTGACAAACGAGGCCAATTCAAATTCGCATTATGTTCACTTACAAAATTTCTTTTAGATGTTAAGCCTGAAAATGAAAAGAAAAATACTACAAACAAATTATAGTTTATGATCGATCTGAAATAGATGATTATTTAAGTGAAGTTTTCGAACAAATCTTACATCAGTCAAATATTTGAAAATATATTGGGTAGTAGCATTAAATAATCACTCTTAGTTTTTTTATTATATTATATGATTGTTATGCATAATACAAATTTTTTAATATAAGCTATATTCTGTATATCAAAAAATGCTACAATAAAGTTCCTTGGTGTATTAAAAAAATATAAGATTGCTATCTAATGCAGTTTTTTCCCTTAACCATTAAGTATTTATTGATCAGTAATTTATTGTATATGCTCAATTACTCTGATTTCGTAAGACCACCTGTTGAATCTGATATAGATCTATAACAAAATTATTAGCGGTAAGTCCAGGAGGAATTGTGATGGCATACCCAGCTGTAGAAGGAACTCCGCCAACAATAGGCGGGTTCCAGAATACTTCTTGTACCGGAATATTAATTTGATAAGCAGGAAGACCTAGTCCATTGCAAGCAGTAGCATTACCATTAACATCAAGAGTACCGAATTCCCACTATAATATTTGCCAAAAATACCTTTAAATTGATTGTAAAAAATACAAATGGAGTGCAGTGTGCTAATATTACCTCTTCAAAATATACTCCTGGTTGTCCAATTATTGCTACATGATTTGGCGACGGTGTTGTTTGTCGTGTATAAAGTCTGGCCTGGTATTAGAAGTATTGGAAGTATTAGAATTAGAAAAAAAATGAATTATTGAATAATAAATATATAGACCATAATACACACAATCATACGCCGATTAAATTGATTAGTTGCCACAATTCGTGTAGGATCTTTGTCAAAAATTTTAATTGCAAATACGCATCTTATGTATTCTGTCGCATCCAGCGCTCACATTTGTCTTCCAAATTAATTAAACCTTGAGACACAGCAACTTCACACATGACCCTTGCATGAGGTCTTCCCTATATAATTACTTTTATGTTAAGACTAGGAAAAATTAGGAAATAAATCTAATATGCACAGAACCAACCGTTCTAGTAACTGGAGGAATCTCATTATGTCGGGAAGTTCTTCTTCTTGGTCGTAGCGTTTGACGTCGTGGACGTCGTGGAGCCGGGGCCGGAGCTGGAGCTGGAGATGGTGGAATAATGTTCAAACTTGGAAATATAGCAACATCAGGTGCTGATGGTAATCCTCCTCCATTTGGTTGATAGTGAGCTATTATAGAATTTGAGAAGATTGTAAAAGCCTAAGCATGCTTATTTTTTCAAAAGAAATGTATTTCATTTTTGCAAGCTACCCAAAGTAATCTTTCTTATCTGAAGCACCCCCAACATCTATTGGAGGACCATAGATGACACCTTCAAAATAATTTTGAAGCTGTGCAACAACAAATGCATATTCGTCTAATTTCATCTCGACTATAAATACGTTTCCCTTTGAATCAATATCAAATTTATATCCGCATGTATCTTGGCGCTCAAAGAAATTATCCATTTTTTTCACAGACAAATTCCAGCCTATCTGTATAGGAAAACTATCATACGTGTCAATACTGGGCGGAACTGAATAACTTCTGTGTGATGTTTACTTACCTTCTCTCTCTTAGAGAATTTTTTACGCTCTGAAAATTTTTATCCATGGACATAATTCGATTAATCATTTTGAAAAAGTTATTGTTATTTGATCTGTATTTTTCATCATTCAAGTGTTAAGGGTTACGTAATCACAAAGTTGCGCAAAATAATCTTATTCTTCACATGACCATTGAAAAAAATTCCAAAATAGAAAATCACAAATTGTCAATTGTCCAAGGATTGAACAGTACCAATTAAGAAATAAGACCAAGATCTTTAAGTCATCGAGGGATCACTAAATAAAGGTCTTCATAATACCATACTTCGATAAGTAATATCCGATTTTTATCACAAAGTTCTTTTTTTAGCTGATCCCGTGCAAACTGCTTTTCAAAATCCTTTTGGTTTTTGTGAAAGAAAGCATGGAAGCATTCATGTTGTATACCTTGAACTTCGACAGCAAAATCGTACTGTGGATAGTATACATCAAGTTCAAGCCCTAACGGATGATCAGGAGTTTTTAAGAAATATGGTCTACGTATATCAGATGGTGGGCCTAATAATTTCATCAATATTTCCTTGCAGAGTTCTTGTCTCTTATATGGACAAAATGGACACCGTTTATCTAAATTTTTTACTTTACCCAGGGTTGCATACCATTCATGCTTTTTTTCACACTGCCATTTTAATTTTGTATGTGCACCATTATACGTTTCAGAAAGACATAATAATAATCCTTTATTTTTAATCGCGATTTTTCTAGCTTCTTCAATGGAAATTTTTGCATTACCTGAACAGTGAGGACACCATGTGTCCAAATTTCTTACACATTTAAGACTTGTATACTATTGATGGCCTTCGTTAACATTCCCATAAAAGTAAAAGCAAAGAATCTATATCTATATATTTTTCTGATAATTATTTTCCACCTTTTTTAAGCACAATTTCTTTAGCAATATTAATATTAAGTTTAGAACATCCTGCACATTGAGGACACCATGAATTACGATTTTTTATTGTATTCAAAACTGAATGCCAAATATATGCCCTTGATGACATCTCCATCATCAGCAAATTTGAACAGGCATAAATTTGTATAATTTTATAAACTGTATAAAAACCACATGTATGTAAAATAAGCATATAAAATTTTGTATGTATATATTAAAATCATAAATGTATGTAAAATAACCATTGAAATTCATATAAATTCCACATAAAATTTTGTATATTTTATGTGCATTAAAATTCATAACTTATTTCCTTTTGTGTATATACATAAATTTAGTAGAAATTGTAATTATTCAATTATTCTGTTGATATATATTTATTAACATAAAAAGAATTAAAATGATCAAACCTTGGAACAATGTGCATACTTCAGTAATTAATAATATTGGAATAAATTGAAAATGGTCAACTTTTTTAAAAAAGGATAACCATATTTATAAAATCTCTCTGTTATTATATTTTGCATCATACCATTGAATTAATGAAACATCATGGTTTTTAGTATTTATTCTAATACAAAGTAGAAATAAGGATAAAACTATTAGTACAGAGAAATAAAGAAAAAAAGAGATACATATAATTGTATAATTACTTGTGCATAACAATATGTTTCATCAGAAATGTATTCTTCATTTTGACTTTCTGCCATTTCAACTGCAACATTTGAAAATTCTGGTTTGTTGTAAAAAGAGTTATCACTGTGTGCAATTGTACCAT